GGAAGAGGCATATTCTTTTAACTTTTCTTTACTGTGGAATAATTTAATTTTCAAAGACAAAGGAAAGCTTTGCTGGGTACGTTAACCTGGACTGACAATTTTCTTTCTCCATTCTCTTCTGGACTGAAGAGTTTCCTGTAAGAGGTCTTCTGTGAGTTTGACTGGTATTCCCTTACATATCAATTGCTTTTTTTTGTTTGTTTAGATTTATTTTATCTTTTTTATTGAAAAGTTAGATATACAGAGAGGAGGAAAGACAGGAAAATCTTTCATCTGATGATTCGCTCCCCAAACGGCTACAAAGGCTGGAGCTGCGCCGATCTGAAGCCAGGGGCCAGGAGCTTCTTCTAGGTCTCCCATGTGGGAGCAGTGTCCCAAGATCTTGGGCCATGCTTGACTCCCTTTCCAGTCCACAAGCAGTGAAGTGGATTGAAATCAGGGTTCCTGGGGTTAGAACCAGTGCCCATATTGGATCCAAGCACATGCAAGGTGAGGACTTTAGCCACTAGGTTATCACCCTGGGCCCTGTCAACAGATTTTTTTCAAGTGTACATATAAGTATATTTTCCTTATGTTCAATTGAAGAGAGCTTGATTATCATGTATTGTGGTAAAGATTACTTTAGGTCAACTCTGTTGGGAGTTCTGTGCCCATCCTGGATATTGTTGCCCAATTCTTTTTCTAGATTAGGAAAATTTTCCATTATTAGTTCACCAAAGACATATTTAACCCAACTTCTGCCTCTTCTGTGACTCCCATAAATCTTATATTGGCATTTTAATAGTGTCTTTCCGTTCTTGAATACTTTATTTAGCTTGGTCCATTTCTGCTTCCAGGTTTTTGTGTTTCCCACTGGTGACAGGAAATAGCTTCCAGTTCTGAGATTCTTTCTTCTGCCTCTTTTATTCTGTTTGGGAGACTCTCCAATGTTCTTTTAATTTGCTCCACTCTATCCTTAATTTTTGATACATCAGCTAGCATTTGATTCATTTCTTGTGCAACATATTCCTTAAATTCCTTGAACTCCTATATTGCATGCTTCTTGTTGTTTAGTGTTTTGAATTCTGTATCACCCATTTTATTGATGTCTTCCTCTGTTAACTCTGAGATTGGCAAAACCTTTTTTTTTTTTTCTTTGCAGGAGAGTTTTCAGTAATATTTACTTTGCCTCTGTCTCTTCTTCTTGGTCATTGTACTTCTGGTTGCCAGATTTTTCTCCTTAGGGCAGATTTCTAAGCTCTGTCACCCACAGGTCTACAATTTGACTTTACTTACTGTGATTGGTACAGGATTCTTTGTTTGCAGTCACTTGTGCCACTCCCTCCAGCAAGTTCCAGCTCTGTGTTCTTATGTTAGATTTCCACCTCGGTCTCCATAGCCCCAGCTCCTGGCTCACCACTTTCCACCATTAGAAATACTTCTAGTAAACTACGAACTGTCAATATTTTGTACATAAGTAACACACATTGAGAGAGAGAGAAAGAGAATCAAGGTTTACATAATCCGCCCCAATATACATCAGAAATCATGAACTAAAGAGGTAATATGATTTCTTCATATCACACAAGTCATTAATGGCAAAGGGGTAGAATTCAAGTGCTATTTTTAGGGCTGGTTTTACTTCTCTGGGAGTGTACACAATTAAGATCTTAAAATCTCAAACATCAGGAAATGCACTACCTTTGGAATAAGCCAAGTTAATAGTAACAAATAAAGTAGAATGCTGATGCTAGGAATCAGTTCCTCTGTAAAAGAGAAAAAAAAATGTGTTTAAGTAGCATCAAGCTCAAAAACAAACAAAAAAGTCAATCCACAAAAGCTAAACATCTGTTTGTACTTGGATACATCCCAGCAAATGAACACTCATTTCCGTTGAGCATTTATGTTTTCCTACCAAATGATAAACCTTTGGTAAATGTGAACATTTGTTCTCCTCATTATTGTGATAAAACAAAGGTTTGGAGGGGACAGACGGGAAATGCAAACATTTTTGTAAACATCTCCCACAGGCCAGCTGGTAGAATTATTGACAAAAAGCATAGACAGGACTAAACAAGTACAAAATAAAAAATAAAAACTTTGTGTCCGTGTGTTCATTTAGGGATAGGTTTGTTATAGATATTAGCTATTAGCTTACCCAAATCTTTCTGAAAACTACCAATCACTGCCATCACTCCAGCAGTGGAATTGTGCTAGTGAGGCAAAATAACCCGTTATTAACCCAACAAAAGTAGTCATCCCAGTCAAACTAATTAGTGACAAGATGTCCATCGACACAGAAATTGAAAACTTTTCTGGCAGCTTTACACAGTACAGTGGCCTATCGTCACCGAATAAACAAATGTGGGACTTCCTTTCTGTACTAGACTGTTGTGAAACAAATTAAGCAAAGAATTTCAGTTACAATAGCTTAAGTACAGAACACAAAGATTGTTGATCACTTTGCTGTCTTCATGTTATTAACTATAAGACAGATGTACACACAATAATGTAAAATGAAGACTGAGTTTTACTTATTAAAACAGCCTCAAGTTTGCAATGAGAATTTTTGTAATATGCCTTATTCTCTGCAAACTCTACTCTGCCTCACAGATTAAAGTGTATCATGTTTCTTCCCAGATGCAATAAAATGATTTTACTCTTTGATCTCTGATAATGACCTAAGAATTCTCTGAGATATATGAAAATGGATTACTATCTGCCTGATTGACAGTATTTTCATTACATAAATTAAATCATTAGTTCATTAGTCACATATGAAAATTCCAAATGGCAATAATTTGAATACAAGTACAGGAAACAAACTATGCCTGTGAATGCAAGATTGTTATAATTTCAAATGATTTTCTCAGAAAATTCATTTTTTTTACATAATACCGTGTTTGTGACTGTGTTAGACCGAGTCATCAAGATCAGTATTCTAGAATACTCTTTAGAAAGAGATGTATATAGGAATGCAATTAAATAGGTCTTTTTTTCTCTTTCATTTCTTACACTATGCTCTGACATCTTTTACTCTATCCTTCATTTTGTGCTTCAAAATAGTCCATGATATTTTCATGGCATTCACAAATATCTCCCTGAAGATGCACATGTATATTTGTACATATAAAACAGATTTGTACCATTGTTGAAATGATTAATTCCAATACTCCATACTGAGTCAAATAAATATAAATCTAATTAAAATTCAATATGCTAAAAGCTCTATTATTGTTTTGGGAAAAACAGAAAACATTAAAAAATTCTGTAGAGTTTCATGTAAGAAAATGATCCTGTGTAGTAGCGCAGACCTGCTTTTTCTCTCCACCTTTGTCAGAGTGCTATAAATCATAATCCCAACCTTTATTTTACTGCAAAACTCAAGAAAACTATAACTGATTGCCAACATCCACAGTGTACACAAAGCCACTCACAAACATCAGCACATACGTACTTTATAATATAGAATATGGAAAGTTTATGGGAGAGATATAGACTTTGCCATTTAGTATATGTGATCTTGAACGATGAACTTAATCACAGAAAGCCTGAGTTTCTATCGCATAAAACTACTTTTTCCTGAAGTTATAAAAATTATATTCATTACAAAATGTAAATTACTCTAATGCATATGTTTGTTTTGCTTACTCTTCCCATCTACAATTCTTTATATAGAGTTCATTCAGAAGTGCTTCCAGAATAAGATTACACATTCATGAAACATAATTTTACTAATTTAGCTATGAGATTTCCCATATCACTTTGTCAGAACCCTCAAGTCAATTGTAATTAATCATTCTTTTATATTGTGAGAAGTTTGAATTAAAATTGTTGTATGTAATCATAGATTTAGGCATTTGAGAAAATAAAGACTATGCATATATATACTAATACCTTTTAAAATCTCAAATGAAACATTTGAGGAAATTAGTGTGAGTGACACTGGGGAATAAATGCTGAACATTTGTTGTTGTTAGTTGCTCCGTCTCTTTCAACTCATCTCTAAGGAAGTCCTGTGTGTAGCTGCAAAGTGTACTCAACACGGGGTCTGTCCTCTGCAGCTCCGTGGCCACCACTCCAAGCCAAGTCATCATCATTTGTAACCTGATATTTCCCATAAGAGACTCCCAACTGGTCTCTGTACTACAGCGATTCTCTACTTCAGTCTATTCAACACATTAGCCAAAATGTTATCTCTAAAACCTGCCAAGTAACAAAGAGTGAGGACAACTAGAATTGTCCATATCACTTAATCAAAAATAAATTAGAAAAATATATAAAACACGTGTTTTCAAGCATTTCACAATATTACAAAAATGAGTTTGTTGACAAGTCAGCAAATAAGGTAAAGACGTATTAGCTTTGGCTTGGAAAACAATCTCTAAGGAACAGCTCAGGAAGGAAACCCATTCAGAGTCTGAAGTCCTGCTGAACTAAACTGCAAATAAGAAAATTTGAAAGAGGAGGAAACTTGAAGATATACTGCTATAGACAGCAAGCCACAGAGACAGGGTGAATGGTCCGGAGGTATGCAAAGTTCCAAGCCATACAAGCATGACTAGAAATTATGTATGTATGCCAGCAACCAGAAAATAACATGCATGACAGCTACTAATGTTTACATAAAGATTTAAATAGGTCATGCTCCCATAAATTGGAGAAGAAACATACAGTCATATATGGGTCACAAAGCTGAATTCTTGCAAAAATTTTTACTCAAAAAAGAGGTCCAGAGATGGTTCCTTACCCTGCTTTCAATCAAGTCCTTCCCATGAACTCAAAGCAAATGAGTAAATCACTTTAAAAATACACATAAGGTTACTATCTGTAACTATTTAAAACCTTAGTGTTTCTTCCTATTGATACTTAGAACACGAAGTTTTAAAAATATCCTACAGGGCTGGCATGGTGGCATAGCAAGCTAATCTTCTGCCTGCAAGCACCACAATCACATATGAATATAGCCTGTGTCCTGGCTACTCCACTTTTTTTTTGTTACCTTTTTTACCCTCTTTATTCAGGGGTGAGAACATAGTCCCCACTACCACAAGTTATGCAGTCCAGTTTCCTGCATTTGGCGAAACTGCATGAGTCAGCACATCCCAAGTACAATGGATAAGCCTTGGCCTGGGAAGACCACCTTCATGATTATGGTATCTCCCCTGCCTGGTAAGTATTGGCTGCTCCACTTCTAATCCAGCACTCTGAATATGGCCTTGGGAAGCAGCGGATAATGGCCCAAATTCTTGAGCTGTTGCGCCCATATGGGAGATCTGGAAGAAGCTGCTGGCTTTAGAGCAGTTTAGCTCTGACCATTTGGGGGCCAACTGGGGAGTGAAATAGTGGATGAAAGGATTCTTTGTCTCTGCTTTTCTCTCACACTATAAGAAAAAGAAAGTGTCTTTCAAATCAAAATCAGTATCTTTACAAATATCCTATAGGACTATGGTCATAATTTTACATGACAAGCTGAGGGGTCAGTGTGCTATGCAGATTAAACATTCTTGACCTGTGCCTGTGGTGATATTTCTGAGTGATTTTCACTTGAAAAAGTGAACTCAGTAAAGGGGATTATTCTCTGTAATACTTCAGAGAGAGAGAGAGATGAGATCTCGGTGTCAAAGAGACAGAGATGCACAGATACGCTGTGGGTTCTTTTTGTGTAGACAACCTAATACTGGTTCTGGTACCAAGAACTGTTGTGCAGAAGCATAGTACTAAGGATGAGATGACTGAATTTGTTCTGGAATTTCTGGATTTGTCTCTAAACTGATTAGGTTTTAAAGTACCAGTGGCTCAGTTTCTAGCAATAAAAATAGTACTAATAAACTTGGCGTAAACTACTTATAGAGTTATGCAAACTTTCTGCCTTGTTTACTCCAAATCAGCTATTTCTGAGAGGAACTACATGACTCTGTATACAAAATAGTAATTTTTTGAAAACTAACCAATATAATGTTATTGGTTGGTTTTTTCCTATTCTCACTAGAAAGGTACTGGAAGAAAAGATAAACTCAAGGATTTGAATTCTCATCTTCAGAGAAATCTAAATGATCTAAGGACTTCTAAATGTGCCCTGAGGGGAATTCCAATCCCCTCTAGCTGAAGCAGTAAAATTCTCAAAATCAAACAGTATCTCTTCTTAAGTTTGCTTAATTACACCAAGATGCATACATAGGCTCTAAGTGTGTCCATTTTTTAACTTTTTGTTTCATTTGGAAAGGCAGATTTATAGACAGAAAGATCAACTTGTTGGTTTTCCCTCAAATGGCCACAGCGGCCAGAACTGAGCTGAGCTGAAACAAGCAGGAGTTTCCCTCAGGTCTCCCATGCAGGTGCAGAGGCCCAAGGCTTTGGGCCATACTTTGCTGCTTTCCCACACCATAAACAGGAAACTAGATCTGATATGGGGCAGCTGGGACACAAACTGGTGCTTGCAGGTGAAGGATTAGTGAGTTGAGCCATTGCACAGTCCCCTTTTAATTTTTTTAAAATTTTTAAGTGTGTACTGTTAAATGAGTGAATTAACTAGAAAATATCTCAATTAGTGTGGGCACATATGGGAAGAGACACCATCTAATATAACTTCCCTTCTCCCAACTTTGATATTTTACTTGCATTTGTCTTCATGTCTCTCATAAGCTATTTAATATGTTGTCATTAATATATTTATGTTTATTGTTAGCCTGTACTCCTGTTTCATTTATAACAGGCAGTAGGTCTTTGGGATAACTATTTTGTAAAGCTATTATTTGAAAGCTTTTACTTTATACTGTCCCTAATAAGAGTAAGTAACCTGGTAGCTCAGATCTAAGGCCCCGTTTATGTCCTCAAAGCAAGGGCGTAAAATGCACCTGCACATACTGCCACCAAGTTGGTGGTTTTGGCCCTTGGGGAAGCTCAAAAGACACATGCTAGGTTCCACTTGAATTTCAACACCTTTCTTTCACTTTCGTCTGACCAAGGAACAAGGCAGAACCCTCTTGAAGCCATGCTCAGTGTGCCCTCAATTGTTGCCTGTCCCCCATTGTGGTGTAAATCCCCAAGGGTTGTTACCCAATCATATCTGGCAAATGGGCATACCACACATCCCTGAGTTTCCGACACTGAAGTATGTGCATGTTATTGTCAACACTCGCGCTGGATTTATTCTCGCTTTTCCTCAGGGGAACAAGTCAGGCACACTCTAGCCCATTGCTATGCATGTTTTTCCATCTTGGGAACTCCCAAAGCTATTAAAAGTGGTAATGGCCCCTGCTATACCAGCAGTAGGTTTTGTGATCTTGCTGCCTCCCAACATACACAACTAATTACAGGCATTCTTTATAATCAAGGACAAGGGATTATGGAACATGCCAACTGTACTATTAAGGATTAACTTATTAAAACAAAAAGGGGGATTATAGCACTCCTCGAGATCATTTGAACCTTGTATTATTTATCTTAAATTTTCTAACATTGGATGCTAAAGGACGGTCAACTGTAGATCATCATTGGAATCCGTCTCAGAAGCAGAAGGGTTACGTGATGTGGAAGGATCCCTTGACTGGTCAATGGCAAGGCCCAGATCCTGACCTCTTATGGGGGTGAGGATTGGTTTGTGTTTTCCCAGAAAAGGAAAATGGTCCACAGTGGATTCATGAGAGGCTTGTCCGGCAAGTTCAAGCTGCTGAGTCTTGTGAAAGCTCGGGTACTGGCCATGGTGATGGCATTTGAGTTGGGAGACCATTGGTAAGAGCAAGTATACTGGGCCTTTTTGTCTTCCTATGGGCACCGGGGTTGGGATACTTCCCGCCATTTTCTCCTTAAATCTGACTACCAGACTGCCAAGTGTGCAACCCCAGCTGTTGGGGGCCTCACCCTCCCTTTAAATATAGCTCAGTTTCTGCCTGAGCTTTTTTTCATTCCCATTATTTCCACTGGAAAAATACCTACCTTTTCTGTGTGGCAACTTTGTGGGGTTTGGACATGCACTGGCATGTGCCCTCTTTCCTTTACTCAGGGAGGCAATTATCCCTATGGAAATTCTTAGTTCAATCACTCCTCTGGGTTCGAGGACTCGCTCACATGGGTGAACCTCAGCTCCTTGAATTTTAAGCCCTTGTCCACCTGTTATTCCCATGTTTCTCTCCAGCATACAGTAAATGCCTCTGAAGTGAGTTACACCGAGGTCAGCTGCACCCTAACAGCGTGTTGGAACGGCTATGGTGATGCTGCTGTCATGCGGCTGCCCGGAATCCTGCCTGCGCCTGTCAGGGCTAAAAGAGTAACCTCTGTTGACCTGATAAAGTGTAAAAGAGACTTTGGCATAATGGCGACCATCGTAGCCAGTACTGGGTGGCATCAGCAGTGACCCTAGGACACCCTACAGCTACCGTGGAGACCGTGAACAAACTCGCAGAACACACAACCCAAATTATGGAACAGAACTCGACTGATGAACACGTGCTCATGTTCTAACAGCAGCTTGATTTGTTGACAGAGGAGCAGCAGATACTCTGGGATATGGTCAGGGATTTTTTTTTTTTTTAAGATTTTATTTAGTGGAAAGTCAGATATACAGAGAGGAGGAGGAGAGAGGAAGATCTTCCATCGAATGATGCCCCAGGTGAGCGCAACAGCCGATGCTATGCCGATCCGAAGCTGGGTACCAGGAACTTTTTCCGGGTCTCCCACGAGGGTGCAGGGTCTCAAGACTTTGTGGCCTGGGAAAGCAGTGGAGGACCACCCAAACAGGCAGCTGGATGGGAAGTGGAGCTGCCGGGATTAGAACCAGCGCCCATATGGGATCCTGGCATGTTCAAGGCGAAGATTTTAGCTGCTAGGCCACGCTGCCGGGCCCAGGTCAGGGATTCTTGTTCCCCATCATATATGCCTTTATGTGTGTGACATATGTACTATATGTTTCCTAAGCCTGGGAATGGCTGTCTGCTTATTGTTACTAAAGACACTCCTAGCCATGGAACAGGGCTACCAGTCTCCCCAAGTGTGGTTTGTGCAGCTGCAGCAGTCAACACATTGAATGGCAGCCAGTGATGGACTGGGCACTGGCCAACCTAAGAGGCTCCATCATGCTATGGAGATTTCCAATGATGGGTAAGGCTGATGACCTGAGAGTCCACAACCGAAGACAGGCACATTCAAGTCTGCTTTAAAACAAATGGGCACCTGTTGTGGGCTAAGGAGTTCATTAGCTCTCCTTAAACTGAGTAGTAACAGGAACTGGGCTTGTTGCTAAAAACGCCTAATCCGGCTCAGCAGCATCCTATTGTTTGGCTAAAGGACTTGGGGGAAGAGTATCCAAGGAGTGATAAAGGGAGAGTTCAGAGAGACTTCCACCATCACTGGTCTCCTGTTGGTGTCCAAGTTAAAGCTCTGCTGGTCGGAGCAATATATAAACAATATATATATCCTTTAATATATCTTTTCATCTCTAGATTTCTACGCTCCATTAGTGCAGGAGTTTTGTCTATTTAATCATTTGTCAAATACCCAGTAATATTCTTGCCGCATAAATATTGATGTATGACTGACAAGATAACTTAATGAATGAGTAATTATATAGAAATATAGGAAAACGGTATATGACAGTTGCATTCATCTCGAGGTCATTTTTGTGGCTTCCTTTTGCTTATCTGCAGCTTGTGCTTTTTAGTTAATGAGAATCTATTGATTTTTCAATAAGAAAAATGTAATTAAAATTATATTCCATTAACATTCCACAGTGCATACTCCCAAGTGGGTAGAGCAGTTGAATCCAAGGTCAGTTTCAGCAACCCATTTATAAATCAATTCCTGTCACTTCAGGGAAAAAAAAAAAAAGACATTCTAAAAGACATCCGGTTTGACCAACTGACAAAAAAAATCACTACAAAAATATATAGTATGTCCAAACTGTTTAAACATCATGCAGATGGTTATAGTAACTAAAGTGAAGGGAATAGAAATAAATTTTATGAATTTGAATAAAGACAACCTACTTATCCAGAATATTTTTTAAAGATTTATTTATTTTGTAGCAAAGTCGGATATACAGAGAGGAGAATCTTCTGTCCAATGTTTCACTCCCCAAGTAGCACAATGGCCTGAGCTGAACCCGTCCAAAAGCCAGGAGCCGAGAGTCTCTTCCAGGTCTCTCACCCAGGGTCCCAAGGTTTTGGGCCGTCCTTGACTGCTT